AGGCAAGATCTGTCGACTTAGGCAATTCCAGCGATTTGTTCGAGATTGTTAGCCCACCCAAAGCCAGAGGACGACCGAAACAAAAGCCAAAAGCAGTCAAAGCAAAAAGGAACCTCGCTATTACAATGGTCCAAGAGGACCTGGACATGCACGAAAACCAACTCAACCTTGTGTCAGTGTATGAAATACTTGAGGATGCGCCAACCTTCACTTCTTCTCACGTGAGGCTGCTCCAGTTTAAGCTCTTCAGGTTTTTATCGAAGGTGAAGCCCCCGATTGCTCACGAGATTTCAAAGTTACCTGCAACCAAACCTTTGATAAGACCAGATGAAATTTGCAGGATTTTTCCTATGGAGTTGATTAAGAAGTGTATGGCGAAGGTCACAGCATACCAGAGGAAACATCCGCGTGTCCAAGAATTGGACATTGCTTTCGAGATTGTTGGAATTGGAGTATTTGCGAACTCAACGGTGGCCCTCATGAAACGATGGCATACCGCTCGTGAAATCTTGAAAAAGGTTGAAAGGACACTGATGTGGATAAATCAGTTAGATTTCTCGCGCCTAGCAAACAATGCTTCGTTTAATGCAACTGCCGACCCAAATCTACCTGAAAAATTGAAGAACATACCAATTTTTTCTTCCCAGGTACGTGATATTTGTACTGCAAATTGATTAACGCAACTAATAGTATCGTACTAAATGATTAGAATCATCTGCTGGATTTGGCTGCCAAAGAATGCCTTACTGAAGACACATTGCATTTGGTTTTGTCGAAGAAATTTGGTGGTGACCCGAACGTAGTCGTATTCAATGCTGCAACTCTCGGAGCTGTCGTGAACGGAAAAATTGAGACGGATAAGGAAGTAATTCGCAACGCACTGTCTGGGCTTTCGAAGGAGACGATTCTCTTTCCCATGAACTGCAACGGAAACCACTGGTGTTCCGTGATGATGGATCTCAACAAGGGCAAAGTGCTAGTGTACGATTCCAGTTCGTCTTCCTACTTGTGTAGCGTTCGTGCCGTGGCGCAGACGCTGATAACGCTGCTGCCAGAGAGAGCACAGCCGAGCGTACGTGTCGGCACTTGCGAGTCGGGTTTAGGAGTCCAAGTCGATAGCTATAACTGCGGCGTCTACGTACTTCTAGCATTCGAGATTTTCTGTGGTGCCGAGCCACTCGGACATGTGGATAAGAAGACACTGCAGTGCCTTCGTTATCGCTATCTCCGTATGTGCATGGAAACTTAAGGTAGCCGGCTAGGATTAGCTTATGAGCTCCATTCATAATCTCTTAATACATAAGTTCATAACATTTACGTGCTGTATTGCAAGTCGTGTGGGGCAATGCAATCTCCATTCTTAAACGCAGATGTGGTGCAAATGAGCTAGGCCTAGCATGAACGACTTGGTGTCTGCACTCAGCGAATAAGTCCGTTCGCTTTCACGACAATGTGCTGAGCCACACAGCCCATACACCATTTTTTGAGCCGTTTCTTTGCATTCTCGCTCAGCCAACATCCGGGTATACGTATAGAGACCTGAACTGGCTTCTTCCGTTTGGGCACCGTTTGCGTACTATACGGGCGTCCGACGGGCATGTTTGGGCGCCGGATGCGTCTAACTGGGCGAGGTTGGGTGCAAATGGCTCGTCTCAGAATTTTAGTTGGGCGCAGCAACACGTGCCTAAAAAAATTGTGTTTAGAGAGTAACACCGCCTATTATTCCTTTTGGGCGTATGAGTAAATATGGTGCGTACAACTCTCGGTCGGCCATGGCGTTCACCACGGCGAAACCTAGATGGGGGCTTTAAGGCGGATATGGATTGCAAAAGTTGTGTTTGCGATCTCTGGTCTATAGGCAAATTCCCCATGTAGTCCATCGCACTTCATAGGGCTTGCCACGACTGTGCCGTCGACACCAACAACCCAACATACTAGTGACTGGGTTGATGCTGGCGCGGCACTGATTATTTAGCATGTACTGAAATGCAGAAGCCGATATGTTTTTATTGCTGAAAACACCTTTGTGCAACCGTTTATACTGGTCGGGTTTAGTTTTTTTTTTCGAGTTAGGGCCTGATTCGAAGAAAAAGAAACGATGTCTAAGCTGGAAAGTGAAACAATCGATCCTCCTAGTGGAAAATATAACGGGGATTGTGTTTAAGTAATTCGGTGGATTGAGGATACTGCATCAGTTATAAGTGAAGACCAGAACGGAAGTCCAAAGGTGGAGTACATGCTCAAAAGACCGATGCTGACAAGCACAACAAATATTTGAGTATCACAATAACGGCAGATTAGCACAATAATCTACTGGTCGACACCACAAAATTTGGTCCTACACATTAAATTTTGACAAAGAACATCACAAATCGGTTGGCCACCGTAAATGTTGTGGCCGACACAAGATCGGTGTCCAAGGTACCACCTGCTACTTTCAGTCTCCCTTGAAAACCATCTACCCCTTCGACTACATCTACCCACCACGATGCCCACCTCTCACGCCTGGCAACTGCTCTGTAGCGAGCTCTCTGAAGGTGACGCGGACTTGCTGCTGCTGAGAATGAAAGCCTACAAGGCCATCAAAAGCCAACTCATGCCCTGCGCCGTGTGTGCGTTAGCATCGCCGCATTCAATGCGTTACAAAACCCTAAGCTGTGTGTGCAAGCAGTGCAAGGCGGTGTGACCGTTTATAAAGTGCTCGTGGCGTTCCAAGGTGCTGGTCTGCCAGGAAGCCAATACGGTAACCATACGCGAGCTTGGGAAGCACTTCTCTGCAGCTAACCCACGCAGCAAACCCTCCATTACACGAGCACAACGGACGTTCATCCACGGCATGACTCGCGAAGCCTAACACCGCTCTGAATTCAACACGCAATGTCGCGCAATTTCTCGCTGAGCCTACAAGACCTGCCCGAATTACGCAAAGTGCAAAATTGTGTTAGCCATTTTCGGCGGACCAAGCTCAGCGAAGCAGAAAGTGATGTTTTCTACGTTTCCCCGAGAGGTCGACATCAGCGTCAAGTGTTTTCTGGGCGACGGTTCGGACGACAGGCCATTCGTTGTTGGCGTTACGACAAAGCCACTCCTACGCTCGGCAAACCGCGACCCAGCCTCAGTTATCCTGCATGTGGACGCGACATTCCAGTTGGACCAAGTAAGCTACCCGGTTATTGTCTGCGGACTTTGCGATGGGTCGCGTCGGTTTCACTTGCTGGCTCTATTTCTTACGTCTCAGTTGGAAGAAGCTCACTTCTTTAGTGCATTTGCTGCACTGCGTGCTATGTTTGCTCAGGTGACTGGCGAACGACTGAGTGTGC